TTGGCACAGTCCCACCTCTCCAGGTGCCTCTGGACATGTAAAGATCAAAAACATCTTGAGTCCAAGAATTTCTCTCGCCTTGCAGCAGTGAGCATGCAGAGACTGAATTCAAAGCGATACACCTCTCCTCATGCTGAGGAGCTGCACAGAATGGAATTGACAGGTGACTTCTATTCCCGACACAGGCAAATAAAAAGCTAGGCAGCCTGCTTTTTAAAAGAAGCTTCAGGAAATTTTAACTTAAACACATATTTTTCTAATTCCAAAAATACTTTTAATAAAATAATTTTAAAAGCCATATTAAAAATCATACCAGGCTCTCCTACAGCAGGCCTGTCCTGCAAAATCTCACTTGAGACATTTATTTAGTACAAAATTTTTTGGGGGGTAGAAAAGAAGCCTAGTTGTCCTTAACTTGCCTTCATTATCAAAAGCCATCTGAAATTACACTGTAAAAATGAGAACAGGTTTTTGATAAAAAACAGGACTGCATTTTCCGCTCTGCAGCCACGGATGCCGATGTGTGTAAGAAAGCATGGCCGCATGGAAGATGAGTAGTAGCTTCCGTCACAAAATAAACCCAGCAACAAAACCCAGATGCAAAGGCTGTGAATCCAATTCTCCAGTGCCTCTTGACAACCTGCTGCTCTCTCTTTTCAGGCGTGGTGTACCATTACAACGAAGAGGGCATCCACAGAGCTCAGACCGGATGGGAGCAGTGCATTAGTATCCCGCTGGTACAGCCAGACATGTTTTGGCTTCTTCAGCAGTGGGATACGCTCCTAGAGGAATTTTCTGTGGGAGAGGCCTGGCTTCCTCACAGGTACGTAGTTTGTGTGATAAACTGGACCATTTGGGTTTGGACCCTGCGAGGCTCGTGGTGCAGGCGGAGCCTCGCTCCTTTAGCACACACATTTCTAACAAACCAGTCTCAACAGCGCTGTCAGGGCGCCTTGAAACTCAGTGGCCTTGCTAAACAGAGTATTTTTAAGTAGTAAGTGGCAAACTCATCTGCGGGGATGTAAAAGCTCTAAAATCAGGCATCATTTTAAGGAAGTTTTCTTCAGCGACAAAACAATTGTGCATGAAAGAAAAACCACAGACACAGAGAAGACAGAAAACCCACATATTTTGAATTAAACCAGTATGTTCCAACAAGCACATTCAGTTTTTTGTGGCCCTCCTTGAAGTTAACACCTGATGACGTTACAGGTCACGCAGCCCAGCTGAAACAGCTGCCCCATCACCGAGCTGGCTGACGACAAAGCAGCCGGGTCTCTCCCGGACGACACCAGTCCTTGCACTGCTCATCGGTACCAGCACAGCTAACAAAGAGCTTGTCAGAGCATAGCTGTGAAGCGTTTTGGTTAACGAATGTAGATGTCATCTTGTGTAAGAGAAAAACCCCAAACCCACAACAAATCCAAAGCAGGGTTTAGCAATCCAGCGTATGCTTGACTATAAAATTAGAGAGGTAAAGTGTTATCTCCCTAATACCAGGAGATGAAAGCATTTGACCTACAGTAGAACTTTTGAATGTCTGTGGAACTTGTAAAGCCAACAGGATTTGTCTCTTGGGGACTTCTACAGTTCCCAGTGCCTTAGCATTATTCCTAAAGTTAACTTGAGTTCAAACAGATTGGTAGAAGGTGGATAGACGTGTGCATCTCTCCCACAAGTTGTTCTTTGGTTGTCCTCCCTCTGCCACCTCCTGACAAGTGACCTGCCTTTTCCACAGACCAGTGACCACTGAGCTGCTGAAAACACAACTTTTTAAAAAGATGTTAAATTAACTCCTCTATTTTTTTTCAATGGACAGGAACTGCACTAAACTAATCCTGTAACTCCTGTGGGTTCAGGCCAAGCCTATTTCTAATTTTCTTCATGGCTTCTCATTTACTGGAAGGATGGTATAGAACAGCAGCAGCTACGGCCCTGACCCAGAATATCTTAAATTACTGAGATACTGGTTTTTGCTTGTTGGGATACAAAGACACGCTGCCCAAAAAGGAGATCCTGACTGGAAGCCAGGGATGGTAATGAGAAAAGCCTTTTGCATTATAAATACAAAGATTGGTGTGCAAACAAAAATGAAAAGTCACGTGCTTTGCTTAATTGTGGAACTTGTGTACTCCTCAGTCACCCAGACACGCTGCGGCGCTCTGCAGCCTCAGCCCTGAGCTGGTGACCCCAACAGTTTTTTCAGTGTGATTTCCAGACCTTTTGCAGTGATGATGGCCGCTCCTGAACTTACTCCTAAGTATTTTTCTTTAACAACTGCTTGCTTCCGAAACGGGAACTCAGAGTTCACTTCAGATGCCCTCAGCAACCAGGAGGGCTTTGAAGAAAACAGTGAGCTGTCCTGAAGGGGGCTCGGGGCTGCTTTTCATACCCATAGTCCTCAGATCTTGCGAGGACACCTTGCAAATTCCCAGGGCTGACAGGCACGCCCCACAGATGATTCCCTGGAGCAATACAGACCATGGAGCCACTGATGGCACAAGGCAAGGAATGTGTCACAGGGCTAGGAAGAACAAGGGAAGAATGGCACAGGACGGATGAGGCTGGAGGATTAGGCAGATGGCACACGGGAGTCGGAGCAGGTCTACCAACTGCACTCATGCAGGGCCAGGGGAAAAAGCAGCACGCTGTGAGGGAATGGAGTAAGTTACTGCAGTTGGTAGTGCCAGACACCTGGGAGAACCTGAGAAACATTCCAACAGTGACAAGGACAGGTCAGTGCCATATGCTCCGAGGTTAGGCTAGTGGGGAAGGGGAAAGCAAGAGCATTTTTCACTGGCAACTCCTCCTATCCCATTAGTATTTCTGTCCCTGCACAACTGGCACAAGTTCCTGGTAGTGGGAGCTGGACTGGCAGGCGGTACAGCAACTGTAATCACCACACTGCAGAAGCTCCTTGATTTTAAGTTACCTTCCTACCGCCACACTGGAAGAAGTGCGGAGGGTGGCACACAGTTTGCATTGCTGCTGCAGGAAGGAGCTTTCGGGATAAGAGGAACAATACATGGAAGAGCAAAGGTTAACAAAGTAAAAGCCAAATAAGTATAAAAAATAAGAACTCATTCTGTGAAGTCTGCAGCCCTGGTTTTCTTTCCCTCATGCTCACAGTTTCTAGTAGCCCTGGCTGGAAAGTACAGCTTGTGATGAACAGAGTATATGTAAGCACCAGCATCAAAGGAAAGTGGCAGTAGTTCTTGGACAGCACACAATTCCTTATCTCACTCTCTAAGATACTCCTCCACACACAGTAATGAATGCATTAGCACTACCTCTTATTAACGAGGTGTTTTTCCCAGGTACGAAGAGCACGGCCACAACTGCTACGCGTACGCACTGGCATTCATTAACAGCCTACTGACCGCACAGGGAAAACGGGAAATGAGTAAAAGTGAATTTACAGAGAAATTCGTGATCCCACAGACAAAGAAAGCTTCCAGATACATCACACTGCATCAGGAGCTAACAGCTAAGGAGTTCTACATTGTACCCCTTCCCGATGCAGAAAAACAGTGCTGAAAATGACAAGTTGCTGCATTAAAACATCTACAACATGCAGAAGGAAAAGGAAGCCTGAAGACTCCAAATCTCAGGGTTTAAGGTGCGTGATCTACTTACAGTTAACTGCATGCAACCCGCACGCCGTGGAAGGAGCAGGAAGCTGACTTGCCCATTTGTCTGAAGTAACATACATCCTAAGTGCACGCTACAGAAAATTCCTGTGGGAACTGTTTGTTTTCCTATTTGCATTCTATCTCTGTTCTGCCAAGACCAGAAATTGTAACTGCTGTGTAATTAAGGGTTTTAACAGATGAACGGTGGTAACTTACGCTGTAGCAAACCAGAATGGCTTTTCCTGTCACATTTGTTTATCCTTGAGTGAAAAAAAAAAGGGAATTTGTGCCTGCATGCTGCTGAAATCCAAAGTCCTTCACTTAATGCAGATTCACTACATGCAAAGTTATTTTCCTTTAATTACTAATAAATGTAACAATAAATCCAGCCTCTCTGCTAGATATATTTCCAATTCTTCTCTACATTTTGCACATTTACTCCTCAAACCAAGAGATGCTTCGTATGAAAAGATAATAATTTACTTTGTTAATATCTGTAATAAGCAACAGACTCCTCAGAATTTATCTTGGAGTTAAAACTTTAGGACTTAACAAAAAGAAATTTAAGTTAAAAAGCCCTAAAAAGACCCTCCAACAGCACTTTCACCTCCTGTACTTTACACTCCAGTGTGTGCTGAGGTCAAAATTGTGCAGTCCACAATTTTGTGCAACTTCTTCACTTCCATTCTAGTGTAAGAAAATAATTTCAGCTTTTTTCCCTTCTAATTTGTGCTAAGTAAGCTGGTTTTAGTCTTGACATAAGTCCTATTTTTTCTCAGGATGGAGAAGTAATCATAAAGGATTGGGGGTTTGTCCTCATCTAGTTTATACTTTTGCATACACAAACTGCATTAACCCTGCCCCAATACTCTCTAGCTGCATACACCACATGTTACACACACACACACCCCCCTTCCAACCATTTCTTGCGAAAATCTCAATTATAGCTCCTTTAAAAGCATATTCAGTAGAACACAACAACAGAGACAACCAGCCTGAAAGGCACAGTGCTGCTGCTGTTAGAGACCTCCTGTCCACCCCCTCTAGTGCTAGTCAGAGTTCTTCAGCTAGGATTCGGCTTACAAAAAAAAATCAGGATGCTATTTCTGACTGAATCAGAATCCATACTCATCCGAGTATTGTATTTTAATTGGAATAATATAAATAGAGTGGTGAGAATCAGTGCCATGGCACAGCCATCGGAGTTACTTGATACAACAGTACTGAAACGTGAAAGATGATCATGTGCAGCTAGAAATAAAACACCTTGCCACGTACAGTCAACACCTTCACACCTCTTCTTCAGCTTGAAAAAAGCCATTATGCGATTAACATTCTCATTTGACATCTTTCCAGCAGAAGTCTCATTAAATGAAAGCAAAGAGCAGAAGATTTCCACTTGGAGGTATGTGTAGTTTCCCCCATTCATGACATGGCTTCACAATCTAAACTGCCTGAGTGAACAAGGCTGTGGGGTTGTGTTTGGTGGGAACAACCCGAACTGACAGCATTTCTACCGGCCCTGGAAAAACTTCCTGTGACCAGGAGGCAAACCTCCTTTTATAGTGAAGGAAAACAGCACAGAGAAAATGCAACACAGTGTCATTGTCACCCACTACAATGCATCCTTAGCACTGCTGCAGAAAACGACTACGGTCTCTCACACACACCCCCCCGCCCTGTGTTGAAATACATCCTAACAGCCCGGTGAAGCAAGGAAGCCTATATTGTTCAAAGATGAAGAGGGAATTCAAATGCCTGAATGTAAAGCGGCAACACTTAAAATGCAGTGGAGTTGATACTTAAACCTCCTGGCTGTACTTAAAAGACAACTGAATACCTGCCGCGTTAGTTGGTTTGTTTTCCAAGTGTGGCTTAGCAATAGCAAACATCGTATTTAGGGACCTGCAATTGAATGATTAAGTCTTAACGAGTGTAGGAGAAAATAGCCAGCACCCAAGCAGCACGGCAGGCCTGCTCAGCCCTGTGTCTGCACAAAAGGCAGCAGTGCCTGCCAGTCTGGCCTACAGCACGTGAGAGGCGAGGGCAGAGTGCTGTGAGTGCACTACAAGTGTACCTGCCCTTGTAGCTGCTGGGTAAGAGAGACAAAAGCAGTGATGAGGCTGAGAGACATACTTGCCAAACCAGAGAGACTCACTGCCGCTCAGCTCAGCAAGTCTTCAGGGTTTTCTACACACTAACCCATCTCCAACAAAAGTAAAGGGCATCAGCGTGCGGTCAGGGCATCTTGCTGTCACGGGGCAAGATCAGGCCCTTACTTCCAAGGAGGAATCTTATGCGGCAAATCCCAAGTGAAGACAGACCGAAACAGGGAAAGGCACTCCAGCATTCCGCACTGCCTAACACCTAACACTGCTCTTAGGTGCTGACACCCCAGATTTAACTTAAATCCTTGCACACCCTGGGAAGAGTTCCTCAGTTCTGAGCAGTGCTTGTGAAAATAAGCACTTTTAGTTGGGACCACTAAATGCCAGGGTCTAGGCACCTAACAGCAACGTGTGACAGCGCTCAACATTGCAACAACCAAATTTCTCTCCAAATCTAAGTTTGTGCAATTTTATCAAGGCTATGACGCCAGGTTTTGGTTGAAGAAGAATGCTACCGTAGGTATCCCAAAAGGGTATTTGACTCACTATTACTGCTGACTTTTAACTAATTAAAAACTAGCAGTAAACTTGAGGACTATGAGGTTTAAGTCCTCGTTTCTGAAGAAATGCAGGATGTGCAAAGTTAGCCTTACAATTCCCAAGTTCAGCTCTGAAGAGTCTGTGAGGTATTCCCAGAAACAGATGCCTCGTTGCTTTGGCTTTCAGGCAGACATTCGGGTTTTGGACTTCAGTGGCACTGCAGGCCGTAGTGCCCATTCAGCGCTGTCAGAATATTAAACACCCCGCTCCTAATTGCTGCAGCCTAGCCACCGCTCCAAGGTACATGCTTAAATTTTAAGGCAACAAACACGTAGTCTGACTTGGGACACAGCTTTTATTTTTTCCCTTTCATATGCCTTATTATAGTTCAGTTATGTTTCTCAATACAACATTCTCTGCAGCAAACAGGATATACTTCATTTTAAAAAGCATTTATACGTACCAACTGAGTATGTTGATAGAAACCGTTCTGAGGCAATAGTTCATCATGAGATCAGGTGAAAAACAACAAGATGTGGGTTTACAAGAATAATTTTTTCCTGTGCAGTCCATTAAAGTTCATCTCGCTCACGGGAAGAAACCCAACGAGTTACAATCAGTTCCTGAAATAAAAAAAACCAAACCAGCAACTATTATGGAGTTGGGAAGAAAAAAAAAGCTGCAGTGAGTGAGGGATGGGGATTAATCCTTCAGCAAATTGATATGGGGCCATTGAGAAATCCTAGTAAATTACTACATTTGTTCCTGAAGTGAGCTGGTCTCAGCATGTTTTTCTCCATTTTTAAATACAGACATTAACCTTACAGCCTCCATAAGTATCCTGTTTCCCCACGTAAATGCTTACATTCATAGTAGCAGCAACATAAAAATTTAGATGATCTTAAGCCTTCAAACAGCCTGTAATGCACCCCTCATGTTTTGGGGCACAAAGGAATCCAGGTTAGTTGGTTGCAGCTACGTGTGCAAAAACAAAAGCGTGCTGAAGAGCAAGCAGCAGTTCAAGGGCTCTTAGAGTTAGCTGGCAGCTGCCCCAGGGAAAAGCTACACAGGCAAAGGAGGCAAATAACAACTCACCTGAACCTTAATTCTTTTCATACATTCAGGTGTCGACATCTCTGCTTCGGTCATGTCAGACGGTCTGATCAAATAGCATAACATCAGTTCCTGTCGGTACACAGAAAACACAGATTTCAACCGATTTCTAAGTTGTAGATGAATCAGAAATGCAGATACCAGTTTTCCTACAAGATGCCTCCTGCAAACCAAGCTAGGGAAGAGCTGTGTAACGTGTAGCTGATCGTCCTCAGCAAGGCATAAGATAAACTAGAATTACAACACAGCACCTGAGCACCACGGCCACAAGCATGGAAATGCCACGTACGAGGCTCTATCATACAGAAAATCTTCTGGAAACTTTCAGAAATTCACTGTTCAAAAGAAAATCCTGCTAGATGGAGAGGGCTTTAAAAACAGAAGTGACAAGCAGAAGAATTCTATGACTATGAAGAAGTGTCCCTTGGGTCTTTCTTCTGTTCCTCACACAATTTTTAACGTTCCTACAAGCCACAGAACTTTCATAAGCTTCTCCCAGAATTCACCTGGGTACTGACAACAGAAACTCTTGTTTGCCTGCTGGCAACTCAGCACGTTCTTCCGCAGACTAGAAACAGGAGGACTGTCTTTCCAGACTCACTCCAACTCCCTGTCCCTTGGAACTAAACTGTACATTTATCACTTTAAAGCCATTTTAAAACTAGCATCTCACACTTACCTTAGAAGCACTAACAGTTGTTCTGTTCAACCCAGACAAGGACTTCCAGCAGAGTGGTCTGCGAAGAGAGCCTTCAAAATTATCATCAACTAATTCAGCAATGACAGAGTAACTGCAAAACAAAGCAGATAGGAAAACCCACAGAAAGGAAAGACTGTGAAATTTAAGAATTAGAGCCTAAAACCTGGTGTTAAGCAACATGCAGTAAGCAAGTTGTGAAACTTAAGTCACCTTCTACTAGGCAAAGAGGCGAAAAGATAAGTTGTGACGATGCTCACTGGCACTTTCTCTCACACCCTTCTGCTGGTGTTTGTGGCATTCTCTTATGAATGCCAATCTGACATTTATAATCAATTTATTATCCAGGAGTTCAACCTGACTAGCTTAGGAATAAAGACAATTATCATCCCTTCAAATTTTTTTCTCCCAAATTACATCTATTACCCACACTATATATTTTTAAAAGTCAGTATTACTAAATCCACTTACTTTCCCGAGTGCAGCGATCGTACGAGTGCTAAATATGCTCATGCAACTTTTAATTTTTAACGTCTTCCTACTGAGATATGAATCCAATGAAATTGTGTTATTTAGTGCCTCTGCTAAAAGGACTTTGGCACTCCCAGTATGAGTGCGGCTGGCAAAGTATTCTGAGTGCAGAATATGTGCTTAACCAATGGATACACTAAATTTGTGTGAGAGAAATGTACTAATTTGAAACTAAGAAATTAGACAGAAATATGAGCTGCAAACCTTGCGTGATAGAAGGGGGGGCCTTTTCGATACAGCACTGAAATGAAAGAGAAACACCTTAGTTGGAGAATCACAGAGTTTCCACCCAACTTTATACTGGCATCCATACTTTCAAATGTTTTATGTTTTAATTACACGAGGCAAAACTTCAACACTTTTGACTTCTGCTCAGAATTAAGTTGTCCCAGGAAGCAGAGAGAGAGGGAAGAGCCAAAAGCCACTATAAGAGCAGCAGGGTGACCCAGGGCAGGGGAGGGGCAGGTAAAAGAGAAAGCAGCAAAGCCAAAGGACAGTTAGCAATTGCCATGGGAAAAAGTTTAGGGTGGCATTTTTCTGCAACAGGCTCACGCCACTGGAGTAGAAGTTAAAGATCACGATAACCCATCAAATTTCTATTCCAAGCAAGCATTTTCCATGAGTTTTAAGAGAGGCACAGGGCGCAAGTTCTTACATACTGCCCACCAGAGCCACTAAAAGTACATTTTCTACCCAAGGGTACAAAAGACTCGTTGCAGCTGGACAACAAATGGGCAATGGAATGGTGAACAACCTAATACAATTCCATGTATACAAGAGGTGATGGACAGCAAAACCCCATCCACAACCCAGAGAGCTAAGAACAGTGATGCTGACTTCAGCCAAACCTACACACTGATCTGAAGGGCTAGCTCAGCACAACCTCGACATACCCAAACAGGCAAACCCCCAAATGATAAAAAACTGCTTGAGCATTAGTAAAACACCTGCTGGTTTGCATGCCTGCATTAAAGAAAACATCTCCCTCTATGCACATTTTCCCGTAACAATGGGCATTACTGCACTGTTTACGTTGGTGTGAGCTGAATGTAGGTCTTAATTACTTAGCAAGGGATTATGGGCACTAATAATTATTTCTGTAAGATTAAAACCCCTACCATTAACAAACATGCCCCTTCCCCCTCCTCTCTCCCCACCAAAGAATCCCAAACATGCAGAGAAACAGTCTTAGCAGTAAGTTCAGCAGAAGTCCAGCTTCCATTAAATGGGATGAAAGTATGGATTTTGATGTGAATTGGGATCTAGATGCAAATCTGCTGTTCCAGAGACCATCATGTTAATACTGCAGAAGGTATGTTTAAAGGCAGTAGAGAAACTTGGGAAAGGAGTTTTAGTGCAATCTTGTATTAATTATTAACGTCACGAAGCAAAACAACAGGCCTTTCGAGCTACCTCCTCAGCTACTGGGTGTGTGATTCAGCTATGAATTCAGCTTTGGCACTGGAGTCTTGCAGTGCCTGAAGAGCCATCAGTTGCCAGTGATTCCATTATTTTAAGGAAGCTACTCACAGAGATCAGTTCCATACTTCAGTCCGACTTTGGGGACCCAACCCCTACTGCGGAAGTAGTGATACGCCATGTAAGTAGTTCTAAAGTTGGGCTTCACTTCGCTGAAAACTTCCCATAGCTTCAAAATAGTTAGTGGCTCCTAAAAAATCACAACCAAAGGCATTAATGTGCTGATATTAATACGGCAGCAGGTATAGAATGCTGTGTGTAGTAAAGCATAACCACCCAGTATCAGATGTCAGAGCCGACTGCAAAGAGCACGGACTTCAGGCAAGAAAATATCAAATGCCTAAATATAAGACAGAAACTTGTTGCTGCATTTACTGGTGGATTTTTTTTTTAGCATTTCACCATCAGTCCTGTAATTCCTTTGTTTAAAGGAAAATCTGATAAATCTGAAACTAGAAGCATAGGTTTCAATTATTTTGTCATTACATTAGCAGTAGCTTGATATATTCCCAGATTAATGCTTAAAACTCCAGGGATCCTGTTTCAGGAGAGTATTCACCATATTATTCCTCCCATGCTTACCTTCCCTGCATTTCCTGCCTAAATTACAACAAAAACCTTTCTCTGCAGAAAGGCTGTGCTTAGCTATATTTGCCGTGGTAAACATAAGACTTTCAGACAAATATTACATAGACAGAAATATCGTTACGTGTAAGATATACTTCCTAATTACTCTTTTTGGTCTTTCCTCCTTTGGAATTAACAGCATAAAATACTGCCATAGTAGGTAAAAATTTCAGACCAAAACATATCCATACTAATGGTATCACCAGTAACACAAAATTAATCCAATCTCTTACCTCACCATAATAAATACTTAAACATCCCAGGGCATACACCAAAAAAAATGCCTGAAAAAATAAACAGATTAAGTTCAGCTGACAGCAAGACCCTTCCTGCAGTTTATATGCCACGCAAGAACAAAGGCTCAAATTAATTTTATACAAGAATCCTTATGTTATAAAGGCAAACAGGTTGCCTGAAAGTTTAAATTTGAGATATGTCATCATGACCTTTACATTTCCACAAACGCAGCACTACAAAAACACCTATGCACATGCTGTAGGCTCCCGAAGGCCATGTGTTAACACTAACACCCCCAAATACATTTAGAAGCAGCACAGTTGAAGCAGGATTTATATGTGTTGTATTCCCAGTATATCTATACTTAAATCCTATCACTGGTCTCTTTGTCTGTGGGATTATTCGTCTAAAGTGAAGGATTGGACCCTAATTATTTTTCTTTAACCGTATCGCGGAGTTATCGCAGGTTATTAAAAATAAGTTGAATGACTAAGGCAATCCAACTACTTAGGAGACACGGGAGAACGTGTACTTCAGAAACAGGTATTACATTACATCGTAACATAGAGTAATGCTTACTTTTCAGATTAAAACAACCTGTACTGTTCTTGAAACATACCTCTTCTAAGCTGAGTTGTAAGTATTCAAAAATCCTAAATGGATTTCTTCTGCATACTAGTTTTTCCTTCTTGACAAGCTACAAGAAAAATACACCGTATTACTGAAACTTTAAGCTGGAACAAATACTGAATTCTGAAAAGAGCACTGATGATACCATTTTTTAATCAATTAGAATACTCTTTGACCTTACATTTTCTTGCACGTGACCAGAATCATCTGCAGGACATGGACTACTTTCTTCTTCCTCTTGCACCAGCACGTACTCAGGAGCACATTCTTTTGACCTGACCATCTCACAAGATCTTTGCTCAGTGCTCTCCCTCGACTCGCAGCCATGCTTCTGGCAAGACTCTTCAGCTCCCTCTTTCAAGTCACCTTGCTCCTGTTCTTTAGAGCCACAAACAGCCACAGGATCAAACGCTGGATCTCCTGCCGAAGAGGCCTTCTTGTAGCCTTCATTCCAACACTCAGGATTTAGGGCTACTGCATTTCCAGTATCTGTAGAAGATTCTCTGGGAAGCTCTGCATTTTCTGAATCTGGGCCCGTCCTGTTACAACTATTCCTGGTTTGTTCAGTTCCACCCTCTTCCAAAAATGGCAGCTCAAGCGGCTCAGTGTAACTTTCAAGAATTTTGGTAACCGAGCGGTCATCAAATCCTTGCTCTTTCAAAACACTTTTAGCCCACTGAACGTGACACTGGTACCTGGCAAGCAAGTAAAATAAGTGAGAAGTTCTAACATCTTACCTCCTTTATTCAACACATTAAAAACAATCAACTCAATAAACCGAGCCACAAACCAAATCTGAACGCCCCCCAGTAACTGCTGTGCAAAGTACAACATGCACACTGTGACAGGACTCCAGTCTTCAGGAACGGTGGGGACGACGTTACTGAGCATCGAGATTCTGCTCCCTTCTTTAGCTTTATTTTGCTTTTCAGATTTCTGTGGCAACAAACTCCCTTCCTGAACGCTGCACAAGAACCGTACATTGAGGACTACTCCTACACAGTTTCAAGAAGCAAGAACTTCACCAGTCAAAAACCTCCTCCTCACACTGAAGCCCTAAGCCTGAATTCCCTGCACAAACATCCTGGTATCGGAGCCCGCATGACTGAAATACGCAGTGAGGCTTTGCATACGGAGCTCTCCCACACTTCATCTATTACACAGCTAACTACTGAGAACAGTATCTTCAAACCTGTTTTAACTATCTTTGAAACAGCAGTGGCATAGCAAAACCACCAGCATAAAAATCTTAAGCAGAAACAACCTTCAGTTTTAACCAAAGTCCCCACATCCCTGAGAAATGACAACAATCCTATCAGTGAGATAGTACCTGAAAACTGTAAATATTTCTAATGTTTTTCAATTATGATAGTTTTTAGTGTCCCTTCAATTATTTCCCCTTGGAAGACTACACTGATATGCAGTTGAAGGCATTAATATTCACTGTGGGAAAGTTGCAGGTAGCTGAGTGCAGCTGTCCTTACTCAAAGCTGGCCAGCTCTAGTGCAATATTCTTCATTGCCCAAAAGAAAATCCCAGCGTGGCAATTACAGATCAGGTAGTGAAGAACCTCAAAGACAATTAAACGCAAATTTCATCTGTCAACACAAAATATAAGTCCCTCTGAAGTCTCATAATAAAACTGTAATTCAATACTGCGCTTTTTGTTATAAAAATGGACTCTTCTTTGCCCTGTGATTTAATTACCATATAATTTGCACTTACAGATCTCTACTGAGACAGATCATGATGCACCTTCTGCACCAACGTAATGACACTTTCCTGTGATGTAGTTAAGCTGTATTGCCTTAAAGCAGTCACAAAGATAAACAATGACAAGTGTTTGTGCAAGTAGTAGTAACTGTAGGAGCAGTAGTAGTAATATTACTACTGTTTGTCCTACCTGACGTTGAGAACTGAAGGGGCATAACTTACATTTAAATAAAGTAAAATTTTCAGAGTTATCATAAGATTAAAGCAGAGTAAGTAACTTGCACACTCTTACAGGTAGTTCATGTACCCTTTAAGTGGAACAAAAATCAGTATGTGGTCCAACACTCTGTTTGGCTAAATGTACAAACTAGCATTGTTAATAGCGACTGCGAAAAGATGTAAAACATTTATGTGTTGTACAAGTTCAAGAGCTGCTTCAGCCCACATTATAGTCATTCAGTAAGGAAATGGGAGAGTTACTTTAAGTAGCATGCCCCAGAAACTTCTCTTTCTCCTCAAGTTTATTACATTTGATATTATTGTGAATGAATTACCCATACTGCTGTGCATGCACTCAGTCTTGGCTTCTATTCAGCAATTAATACCTGCAAGCTTACATGGAGAGCCATGCTGAATATCACCTACACTATTCCTAGTTTTTCTAATGTGATATATACATTAAATACGAAGACAAGACATAGAAGCAAGTCATCAGCGTTTATACAGCCAACAGTCTGAAAACCAGTAAGAGAAAATATAAAATAATCTGTTTCTTTAAAAAAAAAAACCCACAATAAATTAATGTAAATTAACTTACTTTTTGGATGCAATTATAGGCAGGTTTACATTAGCACCTGTACAAAGAAAAAAAAAAAAATCACACATTGTTTCATCAATATAAAAAAGTTTTCATGTGATTTTGATCACTGAGGTAACCTGCAGCCTAGCAACTACCCCCATTTTCAACATCCTATGACATTTTGATCCCACTGGTATTCAAGAAGGATGCAGCAGAATTAGAAAACATACCGAGGCAACAGCCTGCAAAAGAGGAACACCTAAATACACTATTTTTCTCCAGCCCATAAAAAGGCAATTACGGAGGGATATGATAAAATCCAGTGATGTCAGTTAAGATATAACTGTCATGAAAAAGATGAATTAAGAATGACAGTCTCTCTATAAACAACCAAGAACAGACCAGATGTAACTGGCTACAAGCAAATAAAAAATTTCACATCTTCTTGCTTCATGATTTCATGGATATTAAAATCTACAGATTATAACCAAGAAAAACTGGACAGTTATACAAAGAAAAGTCTAAGGATGCTACCTTTACTTCCAGACTCCCTAAGCAACAATTGAGTGAAGGCTAAGAGAGTGCACTAAGGAGCCATCGACATACAGATACATAGAATGGTTTGGGTT